ATCTGCCCCAGGCGATGTGCTGCCTCACCTGAAGAAATCTTTTGTTTTGTGTCTTTTTTTCTTTGTGCTTTGCACTCACCCTTGCGAGGGCTCCACTAAATTGCTTTCTGAGAGGAATTCAGCAAGCAAACCAGGAGATCGAAACAACAGACCGGTCGCTCGACGCGACACTACACAATTTGATCAGAGCAAAGCAATAGACGCAATCTACATAGACTTCTGTAAAGCCTTTGATTCAGTGGTACACGACAAACTACTCCTAAAAATAAAATCTTATGGAATATCTGGACATCTGCATAACTGGATAGAAGCATTCCTGTCAAACAGACAACAAATGGTCAAAATTGGGAGTGTCCTATCAAATTCTGTACCTGTCAACAGTGGTGTCCCCCAAGGCAGTGTTCTAGGACCAACTCTCTTCATACTCTACATAAATGACCTCTGTGATCATATTAAAAGCAACTGTATTCTCTTCGCTGACAATGTAAAGCTATTCAACACCACAGACAATACTGCTACCCTTCAAAAAGATCTTGACTATGTATCAGAATGGTCAAACAAATGGCAACTTCAAATCTCAACAAATAAATGCTCTGTCTTACATATTGGCAAAATAAATAAATAAATAAAATACAGAAAATAAAATACAGGCTGAATAGTCAAGACCTTGTTGATAATCCAAACTCTGTCAAGGATCTTGGAGTACTCATCTCTAATGATCTAAGTGCTAGAGCCCACTGTAACTACATAGCCAAAAAGGCATTAAGAGTTGTAATCCTAATCTTACGTAGCTTTTTCTCTGGTAATATTACACTAATAACTAGAGCATACAAAACATTTGCTAGACCAATACTCGAATACAGCTCATCAGTCTGGAACCCACATTACGTATCTGATATTAACACAGTTGAGAAAGTCCAGAAATATTTCACAAGAAGAGTTCTCCACTCCTGTACTCATTGCAGAATACCTTATGCCACCAGACTTGAAATTCTAGACCTAGACATAGAAAACCTAGAACTACACTGCCTTCGGTCCAATCTAAGTATAGTATATAAAATCATATATTGCAATGTCCTTCCTGTCAATGAATACTTCAGCTTCAACCATAACAACACAAGAGCAAACAATTGATACAAACTCAAGGTTAATCGCACGAAACTTGATTGCAAGAAATACGACTTCAGCAACAGAGTGGTCAATGTCTGGACTGACTCTGTGGTTTCTTCTCCAAACCCCAAATACTTTAACCTTTGACTGTCTACTATTGACCTCACCCCTTTCCTAAGAGGTCTGTAGGGGGCGTGCATAAGCGCACCAACGTGCCTACCATCCCTGTGCTATTGTTTATTTTTCTTATTTTTCTTATATATATATCCATGTATTCATAATTATGTTTTTATTTATACCTATTATCTTGTAAGCAATTGACAATAAAATAAAATAAAATAAATTACAGGTACGAGGATGGTTTTGGTGGAGTGATTCAAGCCTCACACTTTTCATGTGTATGGATTATTAATGCACATACAAAAGTGGATCACTCAGAAATCACAACTGGTCTAGTATGAAGAAACATGGGCAGTATTGGGCATGCCTCAGTGTATCTAGGAGGCATTATTTATCCCTGACCTGTACTGATTGCCAGTCAATCTCCAAGTACAACTCAATCAAGTTTATCATCTGTAAAGGTTTTCGTGGTGTTGGACCAGGTTATCTGAGAGGCTGCTTCGACTCTGTTATAGTTTCTGTTTGTCCAGTAAGATTGGCAGACGATTGGATGTGCTTCAAGTCCCTTTAATCAAATAATACCATATGTCAAGGCCCAGAAAGCATAACGTCTTTATCATGGTATTTGCCTCTAGAATAGCATCCAGTCCAGAGATATTATGATACAGAGATACAGAACTGATAACGTTCTGTAAGTCTTTCAAAACCTACCTCTTCCTCCGGGCCACCAGAAAGATTTTTGCTCAGCTCTTTCCTCTTTTAACCTCTTTCTTTCAAATGCCAGTGACAATCATGTCTGCAGAGAAGGCATCAAAATCCGCATGACAACAACTCCTGGATTTTCACTTCTCATGCCTGTGAGATAGGTCTGACAAGCAACAGCTAGTGTGAAATCACACTGGGGAACACGCAAACACACACACACACACACATTTCCATTCTGACAGTAGGATCTTTGAACTAAAACTTATGGATGTCTTTTCTTATTTTGTTTATCTATATATATAAGAGCAAAATATCACTCACGCATCAACACAAAATCTCCAGAACTGTAAAGCCTACAAACTACAAATACTGCTTCAGCAAATACTGTTTCAGTTTCCAACTGTCTCACACACTGACAGGATGCTAGCCAGATGAATATCGATGGATGCTGGTAAAAACTAAGCCCTACCACATAGTTTCACAGTGAAGCACAGGTATAAAGCTAATATATTTATATCCCACATTTATTATTTTTATAAATAACTCAAGGTGGCTAACAAAGACTAACACACCTAATAGATACACATAATAAAAAAGGCCAAACTAGAGAACATACACACAGAACTATCCACAACATCTTCAAAGGAATAAAAGCTGTGTTTTGTTTGTTGCTGTGGGATAGTCTGCTCAACAGGGAAGCAGCTTAACAACAAATAAACATTTTTTGAAAAGATGAAATTCAATATGGTCTTGGATGAAATGGCAAACATTCTTCCTTTGGATGAGGTGAAAGATAAGATGGGTAACTTTTCTGTGATGTTTCCTGCAAATTCATGTAGAATCATGTGATGATTTTGCAAATTCATATAAATATTAAAGGTAATAAATGAAGAAAAAAAGGACTTTCTACAGGAAATATTGTGCTCTTCCAAGATTGTAAACAAAATGTAAGCCTGCTCTTTTTTTCTCCCTTTCATCATTATAATGACTTTTCTTATACCTGGTTATAAAACCTAAGATCCATAATGTTTTTTTCTGAATTGAAGTGGAAAGGATACAAGAATGTTATTTCATCATGACCTTTGAAAGTTCCTAAGAAAATATAGCTTAGTTCTCACTAGCACATTTTGACCTCTCTCTTTTCCTCTTTCTATTATTTTAAACAATCCATATAGTAGTCTGTCTCTTTTCTTGATCCCTGAAACCAAAAGGGAGTTGATTTGTGGAAGATGGAACAGAGAAAAGAAGTCTTCAAATCGAAGTTACATTTACACAAACTTTCTGTCCAGCCAACCATTTCTTCAAAAGCTCTTCCTTTTTCTGAATTAGACAGGGGAGCTGGAAGTTGGCAGGTGCTGTCTTGCCTTTATCTTCTCAAAAGTAAATTCCTGCTTGCCTACGTTACATCCCATTGACATATTTGGAGCAACTCTTTTGCTTATTCAAAAGGAAATTATTTCAAAGAAAGCTGTTCAGGTCCTTTGTAGAAACATGCGGCATTTCTGCATTCCTTGAAAACAATAGAGACAAAAGCAATCCTAGCCCAGTCATTTTATTTCCAGTTTCTGACAGAATAACAGAATTGGAAGCAGGGGTGGGGTTCAATTTTTTAAACAACCGGTTCTATGGGCATGGCTTAGTTGGTGGGCATGGCTTGGTGGTCATGTTATTGGCTGGATGTGGCCAACTCAACATCACTCACATCGGAGCATGCATCTCTTCGCCTGGCCTCTCATGACTGTGGGGGTGCTGCAACAGTCGTAAGTGTGAAAAGTGGTCATAAGTCACTTTTTTCAGTGCCATTGTAACTTTGAATGGTCATTCCACATAAGCAAAGTACCAGCAAAGAAGGGGAAAAAAACTCCAGAGAAGTTCCTGAGACAGGAAGTCTAGTCCTGCCAAGAATGTAATAAGGGTTAACGGAGAGGCAGTTTCTGTAAGCAACACTAGAATGTTTCCTTCCTGCCTTCCTTACAGGATTAGGCCAGTAATTTCTTCTAACAACTGGTTCTCTGAACTGCTTAGAATGTTAACAACCTGTTCTAGTGAATAGGTGAGAACTGGTAGAATCCCACCCCTGACTGGAAGGGAGCTTGAAGGTCTTCTAGTCCAACTCCCTGTTCAGGCAGGAAACCCTATATCCATGGTGGCAAACCTATGGCATGTGTGCCACAGGTGGCATGCAGAGCCATCTCTGTGGCACACATGCTGGTGCCCCAGCTTGGTTCTGCCATGCATACGTGCGCACCTCCTGCCAGCCAGCTGGTGTTTAGGTCTCTACCGTGCATGCATGAGGGGTGTGGCGCATGCTCAGAGGGTGCACATGCAGAGCACATGTGCATGCAGGGTACACCTGCACAGGCACAGGTGTTGCATTTTGGGTTTGTGCGTGTATGTGTGCATGCGCTTTGGGCACTCGCCCAGGGGTGGGATTCTACCGGTTCTGTCCAGCTCTATAGAACCAGTAGCTCTGAAGAGCAGCAGACATAGAACCGGTCTATGTTAGCTGTTGTTTTAGCCCACATGCCCGCCCGGGCTCTTACCTGACTTTTATTTCTTGCTTTTTCAATCTCAGCTGCCATGCGAGGCACAGCTGCGGTTGAAAAAGCAGGAAAAGGGTGCTTTTTCAAACACTGCAAGCTGATGACGTTTCACATGTGCTCACACTGGGCATCAGGCAAAACATAAATCACCAAACCGGTAGTTACACCAGACAGATCCCACCCCTGCACTCACTACTGAAAAGGTTCACCATCACTGCCCTATACCATTTCAGACAAGCGGTTATCCACTCTTTTAAAAATCTCCAATGTTGAGCACCCACAATTACTGGAGGCAAGTTGTTCTATTGATTAATGTTATGAAATTTCTCCTTAGTTCTAGGTTGGTTCTGGTGCTGCTCCACTCCCCCTTTCCCCCATGCATGTACAGCAAGAGTTTACAGGTGTTTATTCAAACCCCTCAACTCACCTCCGTTGCACAGGTCTGGATTCTGAGCTCAGCACAGCAAGAGTCACTGGGTAACTGAGTCCATCAGGCACACATGAAATCCAGGAAAGCAGTTCATAAATTGAGCAGGTTAGGATACAACACAGAACTGGGCATGTTGCTCCATCGATGCTTAGGTCTCCAGGGCAGGATTAAGTGGGCGATTAAGTGTAGTCCTTCATGAGAGGTGAGGTTGCTTCCTTGCGAGTAGTCTAGTTGACCAGTGTTGTTACAGATTAACAGAGTTGGAAGGGACCTTGTAGATCATCTAGTCTAACCCCCACCCAAGTGGGAGACCCTACACAATTTCTGACAGATGGGAGTCCAATCTCTTCTTGAAAGTCTAAAGTGATGAAGCTCCCACAACTTCCGAGGGCAACTTCTGTTCCATTAGTTGATTGTTCTCACTGTCAGAAAATTTATCCTTATTTCCAGGTTAAATCTCTCCTTGTTCAGTTTCCATCCATTATTCCTTGTCTGGCCTATAGGCACTTTTGAAAGTAGCTTGGCCCCTTCCTCTCTGTGGCAGCCCCTCAAATATTGGAAGACCACTATCCTGTCTCCCCTGGTCCTTCTCTTCACTAGACTAGCCATGCCCAGTTCCTGCAACCGTTCATTGTATGTTTTAGCCTCCAGTCCCCAATCATCCTGGTTGCTCTGCTCTGTACTTTTTCTAGAGTCTCAATATCTTTTTTGTAATGTAGGTGACCAAAACTGGATGCAATATTGTAGGTGTGGTCTTACTAAGGTTTTATAGAGTGGTATTAGTATTACTTGATCTTGATTGTATCCCCCTGTTAATGCAACTTAGGCTTGCATTGTGGCTATCTCCTCTCTGCTCTTGGATCAGGAAGAGGTGGATTCCACCTCCTCCTCATTGCTAATGGACAACAGCTGTGCCTGGTCCTTTCCTGGAGCCTCCAAGCCAACTTGCTACAGATTTGGCTCAGCCTCAACTTACTTGTTGCTCGTCTGATTGACCCAGCTGAGGCTGCTTGTCAGGCTAGCACTCTCCAAGCCCCCATCCTAATTAATACTCGGCTCCGAGATTTCCTCTGCTGATTCAAACTCTTCCTCCTCCTCTGAACTTGAATCCAGAGAGGGGTCTGTTCTCTCCTTGATTAGTTTCCATCCATTGCTTCTTGTCCTGCCTTCAAGTGCTTCCAAATTGACCCCCCCTCTTTTCTATGACAGCCCCTGAAAGACTGCTATCATGTCACCCCTCTGTCCTTCCCTTTGTTAGGTTAGACACACCCAATTCCTGCAGCCGTTCTTCTACTGAAGTTGGCTGCAAGTGTGGTAAAGGCAGCCAGCTTCAGTGGGTAATTATTTCATCAGAAAAGTATTAGTCAATGAAAGGAATGCTAATTGGAAATAGTTCTTTAGGATTTTGCAAAGGAAATTGCTCCTGGTATATGTCCAGATATTCATGGGGCTTATTTGGGAATAAGTGGGGACATTTGGAAATTTGAGATTATATCTATGGCACTCTCACAAAATGGCTGGCCTGGTGGGTATGTTCAGTCACATAATACCTCCTCACTGAAAATAAAGTCCTTCAAAACATTTCCTTCTGTGAATAACAGATAACAGATAATCAGAGTTGGAAGGGACCTTATAGGTCATCTAGTCCAACCCACCGCCCAAGTGGGAGACCCTACACCATTTCTGACAAATGGTAGTCCAATCTCTTCTTGAAAGTATCAAGTGATGGTGCTCCCACAACTTCTGAAGACAAGCTGTTCCATTGGTTTCTCCTTATTTCCAGGTTAAATCTCTCCTTGTTCAGTTTCCATCCATTATTCCTTGTCTGGCCTTCAGGCGCTTTGGAAAATAGCTTGACCCCTTCCTCTCTGTGGCAGCCCCTCAGATATTGGAAGACTGCTATCCTGTCTCCCCTGGTCCTTCTCTTCACTAGACTAGCCAAGCCCAGATCCTGCAACCATTCATCGTATGTTTTAGCCTCCAGTCCCCTAATCATCCTGGTTGCTCTTCTCTGTACTTTTTCTAGAGTCTCAACATCTTTTTTATAATGTGGTGACCAAATGATCCCTACCACCTCTTGTAGCCTTTTGAGGCCGGGCCAAATGATTCATTCACGATACAGAGGTGATATTCAGCAGGTTCTGATCAGTTCTGGAGAACTGGTAGCAGAAATTTTGAGTAGTTCAGATAACCGGTGGTAACCTTCCCCCAGGAGTGGGGTGGGAATGGAGATTTTACAGTATCCTTTCCCTGCCACGCCCACCAAGCCACGCCCACCAAGCCACAACCACAGAACCAGTAGTAAATTTTTTTGAATCCCACCACTGCAACAATAGTGTTGGTCTCACTATTGATAGCCAAATCTGGCTCTGAGTTGTGCCTCGGTTTACCTTCCCATTAAACAACTGAGTTGGAAGATCATTTAAAAACAATTTATTTGGGTGCCCTGATAAAGTGGGATCTCTTTATGAAAAAGGAGAGAGAGAACCCCGAGCCCCATGGTTCACTCCTTTTTATAGTTAACACAACAAAGAAAATAAAAAAGGATAAAAGTCACCTCTCCTTTCCATAGGAACATTAGAATAGAATAGAATAGAATAGAATAGAATAGAATAGAATAGAATAGAATAGAATAGAATAGAAAAACAGAATTGGAAGGAACCTTGGAGGTCTTCTAGTCCAACCCCCTGCTCAGGCAGGAAACCCTATACCATTTCAGACAAATAGTTATCCAATCTCTTCTTAAAAACTTCTAGTGTTGCAGCATTCACAACTTCTGCAGGCAAGTTGTTCCACTGATTAATGTTATATATTTGCACCCCATAATATCACACATCATTAAAATGAGGTCTGATGTCTGAAAGGGTATAAATTGTAAGGAAAAAGATTATTTGGAGTCCCCAAAAGAGATAAACCAGACCCCAATTTGTAATAAACTTTTTCTTATCCGGAGCTAGTCTCCAGCTTGTTTATCAGTTTAGGAATGTTAAAAGCTAATAAACCTGAACACCATTTTAAAAGAGAGATGATAAATCAAATTAAAATTTAAAAAAGTAACTATGATAGTTAGGAAGTTACAAAATCCATGTCATGTGCCCCTCTCTATCCAATGAATATATATAATTTATTATGCAGCATGACAAATATGAACATTTATAGTATGATTTCTAAAGATGCCTATATGCTTATAAAGTTGGTATGAGGCAAAACTGGGGAGCCAAATATCTGTTAAAACATTTTTCCTTTTTTGTGTTGTTATGTATTTTTCGTACACATGCACATACAACAACGACAGCAACAACATTAAATAACAATATAGTGGAGACCTAAATACTGGTAGTCCCCTAATTTAGTAACTACAATTTGAACCAGCAAATTGATTGTTAAGTGAAGCAAGTCACTGTGAAACCGTGATTGTGACTTCAGCTTTCCTTTGCTTTACAGATGTGCAAACGTCATTGCCCATGAAGTTGCTTTTTCTTTTTAAATTATTTTATTTTTTAAAAAACAAAAATACAAATCTCTATTCATTTTAACAGTGTTTGTGTTGTTATTCATACATACCTCTCCTTTTATACATAAACATCAACTCTTATCTATCCTCCACCCATTTATACCACCTATCCCAAACTGCATAATAATCCTAATAGTCTGTGCCTCTTAATTCCATTGTGAATTTATCCATTTCCACACAATCCATTATTTTTTGTGTCAAGTCTTCTTCAGATGGTATCTTTTCTTTCTTCCATCCCTGTGCAAAGGCTATGATATGTTATGATATGTATAATGGTGTATCAGATGACCTTGCTCAATTTTCCCTTAATTATTCCTAATAAAAATATTTCAGGTTTGAGTTCTAATTTGTGTTCTGTAATTTCTAATAACCATCCTTGTACCCTCATCCAATATTTTTTAACCTCTGAACACTGTCACCACATAGGGAAGAACGTTCCTTCTTTATATTTACATTCCATGAAATTGCTTTTTCAACATCATTGTAACTGCAAATAGTTACTGTATGAGGCAGATGCTAAACAATGACTACCTGTGTTAAGCCTAATGTAGAAACTTTTATTATTCAATAAATAATTTAATATATTTTGCTTTTGATTTATCCATGCCACATTTATTCATTATTATTTGTCTTTATTATTTTTGCCTTTATTATTTTTACGAACAATCATACAACTTTATATGTGCATTTAAGCAAACCTAACATTAACACTTTAGAAATCATCATCAACTCTCTTTAAAAGTTTAAGTTATCCAAACTGTTAAGAATTTCCAATCAACACTGTATAAAAACCGCAATAGGTCCTCATCTTACAGTGCCAATGCCAACTGAGCCCAAAATTTCTGTTGCTAAACAAGGCAGTTAAGTGAGATGTGTTCCATTTTACAACATTTTTTGCCACAGGAAAGCTTCACAGTTGTTAAACGAACCATTCAAACCTGTATTAAGCAAATCTGCCTTCTCCCATTGACTTTGTTTGTGAGAACCTGGGTAGAAGGAAAGTAACAAATGTGATACAAGGCAATGAATATGTGATAAATACTTGCCAGTTGCCAACCAACCAAATTTTGATCACATGACCATGAGGAGGCTGTCATGATCTTTTGTGAAAACAACCATGTCACTTTTTCAGTGATATTGTAATTTTGAACCATCCCTTAACAAATGGTTGTAGCTCGAGGACTGCCTATATATACTGAAATAATATAATCTACTACCTGTGTTTTAAAATAGCATAATAAAACAATATTAAAAAAATGAAATCAAGATGACAATTATAATTTGCAACTGAAAATGACTCTCTTTATTATACACCTACATATTGAAAAGGGCTGGGGTTTAATTGCATTGTTGTGACTGCCTATTTGACCACCCATTAGATATATCCCCGCTGAACGGATTAATAAAAAAATTAGGTAATCTTCATTTTGCAACCATAATTCGGACCAGTGAAGCAGTCTGTACATGAAACTGCAACTGTCCTTACAATCTTATTTCAGTTTTTCTTTGTTTCACAGATCTGCAAAGATCATAAATTCAAGGACTATTTCTATCTATCTATCTATCTATCTATCTATCTATCTATCTATCTATCTATCTATCTATCTATCTATCTATCTATCTATCTATCTATCTATCTATCTATCTATCTACCGTGTTTCTCATATAATAAGGCCGGGTCTTATTTTTTTTTTGAGCCCCGAAAAAATAGCTAGGGCATCTTTTCGGGGGTGACTTAATTCCCCCCCCTTGCATCTTCGGGCGGGCGGGCGGTGACAGCTTGGATGTTGACCTCGGCGTTGGTGGGGCACTTCGTATCGGGGTCAATGCAGGCAGCACCATATCCGGGTGTGCAACAAAAGTACTTCCTAACGGCAAGCCCCCCCACCATTCCCCCCCATTTTGCATGTTTTAATATAGGCCTTAATTTGGGGGGAGGGGCTTAATTTCATTTCATGCCTATAAAACATGCTGGGACTTCCTATTGGGGGAGGCCGTATTGTTGGAGAAACAGGGTATCTATCTATCTCTATCTCTATCTCCATCTCTATCTCTATCCCTATCCCTATCCCTATCTCTACCTTATCTCTACCCTACCTACCTACCTACCTACCTACCTACCTCTACACACACACATACACATCATCTGGTAAACCTAATTGTTTTGCTAACCAGCTGCCATTTGGTCAAGCTTTTATAAAAACCTTGGTCAGACAACCAAGTCCTAGTGAACTGAAATTATTTGTGTTATCACTTGAGACATGCAAACTATTGAAAAACCAGCAGAGGGTGCCATAACACGTTTTAAAAAAAAGACTGCTTGGCTGTCTTTAATGTATACTGGCAAAGCAGTTTCTTCCAAGTTTGGGCTAATTATATTCTAAGTCTTTTCTCTCACTGTGCGAATAGCTGAAGTGTGCAGGATCTGAATCTGAAAGCTATTTCCCCAAAACCTGCTTTATGGAGGAGGAGGTGGAGAAGGAGGAGGAGGGGGGGAGGAAGAGGAGCAGAGGTGGGTATTCAACAAGTTCTGACCAGTTCTGGAGAACCGGTAGTGGAAGTTGTGAGTAGTTTAGAGAACCAGCAAATACCACCTCTGACTGGAGATTTTACAGTATCCTTCCCCTGCCATGCCCACCAAGCCACGCCCACAGAACCGGTAGTAAAAAAAACTGAATCGCACCACTGAGGAGGAGGAGGAGTTTAAATGGTAACTGGTGCCAGCTCAACGATTAGGCAGAAAAACAGTTCGGCCTGGACATCGTGCTTAATGCATTAGCCTGCTGTCTGCTCAGGTCGAAGTAAGTATTTAGGATGGAATCAGTGGCTTCTGTGTACTTACACGCATGCACACGCACGCACACACGCGCATACACCCATGTGTACAAAATGCTCGGGTTTTGATCATACTGATATGAAAACCATCTTCGTTTCTTGGAGACCTTTTTATGGGCATTGCAGATGGAAGTGAGGGTAGAGGTAGTCTTTAATTGACAAGTATTTGTTCAAAGTTCAGCACTACTCAAACAAAACAAACAAACAAACCCTGACTTATGACCGCTTTCCACACAGATGACTGTTGAAGCATTCCCGTGGTCACCCCATCAAAATTCAGGTTCTTGGCAACTGATTCATATCTATGATGGCTGTAGGGACTCTCGGTGTGGGGAACACTGTTAGAGTATATTCATGAACTGGAATAGAGCTTAGTAACAAAGTCAGCCAATGAATAGGCGTGGCAACAGACCAGCCAATGGGAGCTGAATTGGAAAGTGAAACTAGAAGTGACCTGGGTGTGGCTCTAGTCTTGCTTGCCTGCTGCTCTAAAGTGAAACTAGACTTGCTTACTTGCTAAACTGATATCTGCTCTGAGCCGCTGCTGCTGCTTGTGTTTTTTTGTTTATGTTATGTTGAAAGAATCTACAGATGGTATTGTAAACTTTACTCATATTATTATGTTTATAAAGAAGTTAATGGTCCTGCTGAATCAGTCATCTGTGTGTTTTTTGGACTTGAATTTCTGCTGCAAACTCTAACAAACACCTTTTGTGACCTTCGGATAAGCTAAGACAAGAGGCAAGCCAACCGATGTAAACTAATATGGGAGAAAAGTGATCTAGAACTAAGAAGAAATTTCCTGACCATGAGAACAATTAGACAATGGATCAGCTTGCTTCCAGAAGCTGTGGGTGCTCTAACACTTGAGGCTTTTAAGAAGAGATTGGATGGCCTTTTGTCCTGCTAGGGTCTCCTGCTTGATCAAGGAATTGGACCAGAAGCCCTCTAATATCCCTTCAACCTCTGTTTATGGAGATTCTCAGTCAGGGTTGTCCCAAAAGTGCTTTTTGGGGAGGCAACTGGACTTTCTGGGTTTTTTCTTTCTTCTTTGAAGACATTTTGCTTCCATCTCTGTTAATCTGTTCTGTTCTGTTATATACACAGGTATCCCGCAGCTTACAACCATTCATTTAGTAACTGTTCAAAGTTACAGCAGCACTGAAAAAAGTGACTTATGCCCATTTTTCACACTTACGACCGTTGTGACATCCCTGTGATCACGTGATCAAAATTCTGACGCTTGGCAACTGGCATGTACTTATGACAGCTGCCTTGTCCCTGAAGTCCCTGTGGTCTCTATTTGTAACTTTCCCAGCCGGCTTTCCCAGCAAGCAGAGTCAGTGGGGGGAACCCAGATTTGTTTAATGACAGCATGATTCACTCAATAGTTGCAGTGATTCACTTAATAACCATGGCAAAAAGTTTGTAAAACGGGGCAAAACTCAACAGTTCTGTAGGTTACCGATGAAATTATGGGCTCAATGCAAAGGTGGTATTCAGCAGGTTCTGACCAGTTCTGGAAAACCAGTAGTGGAAATTTTGAGTAGTTCATAGAACTGGCAAATACCACATCTGACTGGAGATTTTACAGTATCCTTCCTCTGCCACGCCCACCAAGCCACGCCCACAGAACCAGTAGCCAAAAAAAATTGAATCCCACCACTGGCTCAATTGTGGTCATAAGTTGAGGACTGCCTGTAATCATTAATCCTCCCTGTCCCCAAATATTCCAAATGATGATAGGACCAAGGATCAATACATCCTCACATTTATCACACTTCCATAATTGCATAAAATCGTCCTTTCCCCCTTCCTTAGGGCACAAATTTAGCCTCGCTACTCTCAGAGTAAACTATGAGATGATACACCTTTGTGGAAAGGGGAATCTCCAGCAGAACCTGTGAGTCTTGGATGTTGGATAACATCAGTAGTTAAATTCAAGCAACTTGCATGACAAGTACTCTTTGTAAGGTTTTTTTTTTTTTTTTTTTTTTTTTTTGTAACTGGGTTTTTAACACCCAGCAGGCACAGACGGGTGGTAAATTGGGAAGCAAAATGCTCATTTTGCAGATCAATTTTTAAAAAATACAGCTGATTTGCAAGATTGGAAAAGAAGAACAGATTTCAATTATTTAACATGGCTGTGTTTTTATTTCCCTGGGGCAGATGCTTTTGATTTCCCCCCCATCTCTCAGGCAAACTAGGGCTGCGTGAATATTCAATGCTTCTGAATTCATTTGGAAAAGTCAGACCTTGAAGTTGATTCCATGAACTGAATTGATTGGTCAATTTGTTTCCTTGAAGTGAATGTGTCCACGTTGATTCAGCTCAGCTTGGAGATTTTCCCTCCATGCACACAGGCATTTTATTTTGTCTGAGTCAGATGGAATCGAATACAGTCAGGTCCAGTTTAGAACTAAGGTTGAGATTGAGTTGGACTTTCAAATCAAATTGGATCAGTTTTCTGAACAGACTCTTAAGTTCTCAACTGAACCTGATTTGTACTTCTTTACTGTCTTTCTGAATTGAATAACCTGGCATTTCCTCTAATATTTATGAGAGGAATATCTAGTAAAAGATGCTGAGATTCTAGAAAGAATGCAGAGAAGAACAACACAGATATGTAAGGGGCTGGAGGCTAAAACATATGATTGCACAAGTTGTGTATGTGTAGTTTAATGAAAAGAAAAACTAGGGATGACACGATAGCAGTATTCCAATATTTGAGGGCCTGTCAAAAGGAAAATGGGCCCAACCTGTTCTTCAAAGCACTTGAAGATAGGGCAAGAAGCAACGGATGTAAAGTAATCAAGGAGAGAACCAGCCTAGAATTAAGGAGAAATTTCCTACAAGTTCGGAACAATTAACCTGTGGAACAACTTACTTCCAGAAGTTGTGGGTGCTTCATCACTGGGTTTTTTAAAAAAGAGATTGGACAACCATTTATCTGAAATGGTATAGGGTTTCCTGCTTGAACATGGGGTTGAACTAGAAGACCAAAGTACCTGTTCTGACCAAGGTTTCCTGAGATCGTAATTAATCACACACTTAGTGCAAACAACTCTCTTTTTATTTCAACACTTCCCAGCCCGTAATGAGTCCCAAACAGTCTCTCGAGATAAGCACCCACCTTTATCTCCTTTGAATTGCTGCCAACAACTAAAGTGCCAAATTAACTGTAAAAAGCCAAATGGAATACAAAGTCCCCACAGAGCTTCAAGGTTTAATCCAAAC